AAGTGAAAATCTGAATTTGATATGGCTAATGCATACAACACTTGTATTAGAAAATATGAATTGGTTGATGCACTTGTATTAAAAAATCTGAATTGCTTGATGCACTTCACCAATAAATCCAGAAAATCTTGAATTGGTTGATGCACTTCACCAATAGATCCCACCAGCAGCCCTAGCTCATCTTCATGTCACCATGACCAAGCTTCCAACCAGAAATGATAGCTCATACCTAGCTCACCATTACCAAGCATCCAACCAGCACAGGCTGAGGTCAGCATGACCAGCAACTTCAAGGGCTTACGAATTGGGCTTCCCTTAAGCAAATTAAGACTTTAAGCACTCAAACTTGAAGTTCGGAATGTCTTCTTTCCAGCCATATGTTATTTGGGCCAATCCAAGGTCGGAGGAAGAAGTTAAGGCCGAAACAAATTGCTAACTCATTTTCCGCGCTGATAAGATCCATCCTGAGCATGGTTCTGTGTTTGCTAGGTAACGGACTCCAGATTTATCCAATGGGGCTGAATTTTGGATATGTTATAGTACACACCCATTGGAACAACTTTCATGAAGGAGGCTGCCTCATCCGAGCTGTGTAGGTTGCTGAAACAAAGCTTGCAATATGACCTACGGAACTGGACTGGCAGGGGGCTGTAGCCAAAATGAGTTTGTCTTTTAAGCTCTTCATCCATTCATCCAAATTAGGCCTTAACATGCTTGAATTGCATGAATTATGCTCTCTTGCTCTATTTGCCTACAAAACACACAAAGGGAGGCAAATAACTTAGAAATCTAAGAAACTAAGCAAAAGAAGTAAGTAAATAGGGCATGTATATGTATGAAATTATGAGCTTAACAGTTGGAGGGGTCACAATGGTCCCGCTTAAAACCCGAACTTCTTAGACACCGAAGGTGTCGCCTAAAGAACTCCTAGACACTGTATAGACTGCGGTTGCTCACTGGAGTTACCAAAAGTTTAGCTCCTTCAAAGAATATCCTATGAATTTTAAATTGTACTACCTAATTAAATAAAAACAAAATAAATAAATAAAAAACTGAAATAAACACGCATTTCAAACAAGAATTTAAAAGAAGAGATGTGATTCTTGCACCAGGTGTCCAAGACGCATCTTTAATTTTGTCTCTTCTTCCAACTAAATTCTTAAGAAACCTGTCAAACAAGAAGAAAACAAGTTTTAAAAAAAATAACAACTGAAAAAAGCAAAAACACAAACATCAGAAAACATGGAGGCAAAAGTAAGTGAAAGTGTAAACATGCTCCCTTTTAAAAAAAACGCGCTCGCAATTTGCGCCAAAAATGAAGGGATCCGAGAGAAAAGAGCACAGGATAGCACCCTCGAGATCCGAAGTGCTTTTGGCTCCCTCGTCTGCATAAGTCTATTTAAACGCATCTCGATGAAGTAGAAGAGTACCCTCATTTCTTCCTGCAAATTCAGAGAAAAACATTAAAAAAATCCAGAAACAAAACAATGGCATCCTCATGCACTCACCTTGATGATCTTAACCTTGAGTTGTCCCTTGCGCCACCGAATGCGCAGATAAGGGCTCTTCCAAACTCTGTCTTCCCAAACTCCACATATCATCACGGTACGGCCTCAAACTTTGCTGAGGCAATACCGAACTTTTCTGAGGCAATGCCGAACAGAGCAGTGCTGCTAGGAGGCATGATTGGCAGCAAACTCACTCTGACAGATCATCTGCATATGGCACAGAGGTTTGACAAGGCAGCGGTGGAGGAGTCCCACAATTTAACTGTGCTCCATGCGGTCTCGGCTACCAATTTGGGCATGCGATTACTGGCAAGGACACGGGAGTGTGCCGCGCTGAGCGAGGAAGTAGCTTCCTTGAAGGCTATGGTGGCGGACTTGCACGTGGAAGCACTGCAGAGAAAAAATGAGGACCATGTGGAGCTGCTGCAAATTCTGCAAGTAAGAGAAAATAGAGGCATGCCATGAAGATGAAGATGAAGATGAAGAAGTTGTTTTTATTTTTAATTTACTTGAATTTTTTTTAATTTTTTTTTTAAACTTTTAAACTTTTTTATTTGTTTGCAGTGTTTGAAATGAAATAAAAATGTGTTTTTAACACTCAGAAATAAACTAACTAACCACACCACGTAAATAAATAAACTAACTTAACAAAAAAAAAACATAAAAGAAAACAAAGAAGTTTCAAATTTAATTTTTAAAATTTTGTTATTTTTGTTATTATTATTTACAACTAACTGACCACACCAAAAAAAAAACAACAAAGAAGTTCCAAATTGTAATTTACAAGGATAAATAAATAAAAACCCAAATTTCAATTTTTTTTAAATTATTATTATTATTTTTTTAAACACACAAATATACAAGCAACTCATGGATGACCAAAAGTTAGCTTATATGAAAAATCTTTTTTTTATAAAAAGAAACAGAAACTTAAAATTACTAAAATTAAAACAAAACAAGTAAAGAGAAAGGATCAAAATGCTCCCCCTTGAAGCGATTAGGTCGAGTGTGATGCACTTGGAGGTCGCGACTTCTCCCACTACTCCACACTCCCCATTCTTATGATTGAGGTTGCCATCTCTCTCCATTTTTATTAAGCTGTCATAAATTGCTTAAAACAAACATAGAAAACTTGAAACATAATTAAAGGATTAGGAAATAAAAACTAAAATGGAAATCAACACACATCCAATTTCATGCTTCAAAGTAACAAGTATCAAAGTAAATCAAACTAGCTTATGAAGTTCGTTCTTTCTCAAATATGATTATCCATATGGTGTGTGTTTTTAATCAAGTATTCAGAAAAAGCATTTAGCTATGGTGTTTATTCTAAACACAAATTCCGAACCCATTAAGAACAAGAAGAACAATAGAGAACCAAGTAGAATTTAAACATGGTGTTTGTCTTCAATATCTACCCATTCATTCACTAATCAGTCCAAGAGTCATATGGTGTTTATGTAAACTTGAACAAGATAATTAATTAAGAGCAAGTGAATGAAACCATAAACTAGAAATAACCAACATGCTACTTGAACCTCTTTTGTGTTGTGTAAGCTGGGACTCAAACCCAGTTCTCTTGCTTGTCAGGCAATTGTCCTTGTCCGTTGGACTACAAACACAACTTTTCAATTAACGTCATTAACTTTAAAACATGAAACTGTCTAGTTATAAAAAAATAAAAAATAAAATAAAAAGTAGGAAAACCAAATAGAATCAAACAATGTTACTGATCCCCGGCAACAGCGCCAAAAACTTGTTGCGTAGATTCAGCTGCACCAAAATGGATTCAACTGCATCCTCAACTTGTGATACTCGCAAGTGCACGAGCCGTTCGGTAGTATAGCGTATGTAAGTGTGAGGTCGATTCCACAGGGATTGGTGATTTAATGATCCAATTCAGTTTTCCTACACAAAACAGAAACAAAAACAAAGAACATGAAAGAAGGAAGAAAGAAAATAAGTAACTCAAGCAAATAAGTTCCCAAGTTCAATTTAGATTAATAGATTTATTCTAGCTAAAATATGATTAAGCCATGGTGTTTGGTCCTAATCTTGTATTCCTAATTTGATTTATTTGTTGTCTAACCTAAGCATTAGGAATCCATTAAGCATAGAAGAATGTTTTAAGCAACCAAGTATGTATCTAATCCAGATTGTCGAATTCATACATACTCTTCCTATTCATAGTTCAATTCGAATTAAAGTATGGTGTATACTTTTAATTCAAACCAAGATAGCTAACATGCAAGCCTTAATGGTGATCAATCATTCAAACTAGCATATTAACTTATAAGCATAATGAATAAGAACAAAAACCATAATTGAAACTTGGAAACTAATTAAACTTGAATACTTAAGAAAGAATGTACATTACAAGAAAAACAAATTAAAACTTAGAGAACATTAAAGAGAGAATTTGAGGAAGAAAGGAAAGTGTTTGAGAACTTTAGCGAAACCAGAGGCAACTCCATGATTGAGGCCGACGCTCTGCTTCCGCATGAGATCATAGAATATGTCTACGATTGTGATGAGTTGCGCCAAGTCGCTGAGCTTCAGTGGAAGGCTATGGTGGAGGACATCTACTTGAAGCAAGGCAAGTTTAGAAACTGCTTGGCCATATGCGACGTCTCCGAGAGCATGAAGAGGGTTCCTCTGCATGTGTCAGTGGCTCTGGGGTTTTGGTGTCTGAACTGAACTAGGAGCCGGCATGGAAAGGAAAGGTGATCACTTTCAATCGAAACCCTCAGTTGCTTGCGATACAAGGGGATGATCTCATGTCCAAATGCGCATTTGTGAGGAGGATGGACAGCCAGGAGTGGCATTGCAAGGTTGATTTTCGAAAGGTATTTGATTTGATTCTGGAAGCGGCTGTAAATGGGAATTTGAGGCCAGAGCAAATGATCACCAAGGTGTTTGTGTTCACCATCTACTATGACTTTGATGAGATTTCGGCCAATCAATGGGAGAGTGATTATGAGGCAATACAAATCAAGTTCAAAGAGAAAGGATACGGGAATGTGGTGCCACACTTGGTGGTTTGGAATCTAAGCCGAGACAATGTTTGGAATCTAAGAGGAGGCGAGTCTACCCTGGCCGTGCCTTGTACGCAACCGGGGGTGACCATGCTCAGTCCCTTCATCAACAACAACTTGGTCAATTCCTTCTTGGAAAATGATGGGGATATTAGCCTAGACCATGTCATGGAAGCAGCCTTCTCTACTCAACTGTATCAAACTCTGGTTGTGGTTGACTGAGTTGAATCTCAAGTATGAGGAGGAGAGGAGCATAATCATTATCTGTTTTTATCCAGTTGTGGCCCTGAAAACTATTGCATTCAGACAGAGGCACTAGAGATTAGTTACTTATTTAGTTAACCTTGCTAGCTAGCTACCAATTAGTGATTGATTACTACTTTAATTTAATGAGAAATTGATCTAATCATTTTAATTTAGCTCAACCTTTTCTTTATTTGCTCTGCATTGCGCTTGTTATAACACAGATTTTGTTGCTGGTGTTTTCTAGTAGTAGTTATTTGGTTGTGTTATGGCTGTAATACTGAAGGTCTGAAATTTTTTATTATTAATTAGTTCTAGCTGTGAGATAACTAAATACTTGCTGTCTGATAAACATTATCTGGGTGTTATACTTGTGGCCCTCTGCCTCACCGATGCAGTCAACATGTGGATTGGCAACCATCTGTCGATACCTGGTTTCTGCCCTCCTTTTTGGGTTGAAATTATAGTGGGACTATGTAGTTATTTTCCTTGATCCTATTAGGGTACATGCCTATGCACCCAATGCATCAGAATCTGAATCCTCATGCGTTGGAGTTTTAATTGATAGGTAATGAAGTAAGCATACTTGATATCAAACTGTATATCATACCATGCCATACATAATAGAACCTCAATATCTAACCATATACAAAGCTGAAACTAAAAGGTGAGAAAAAGTATTTAAGTTCACAGCAATAGTGCGTCCTCTACTATTTGGACTTTGTCTAACTACATACTTGGCCTGCATTAACTCTAACATATCAAGATTTAAAAAATAGTGTGTATCATAACTATTAGATATCTACTGATGAGTATGCTTTGAATTTAATGAAGCTAGCCAAGATCAATGGAGGGGTGCCTAGTCAAGTACTATTACATTCTGATATCCAATTATAGATGAGCCACTTGTATGGATTCAAAGAATTCCTACACAATTGGGAAGGCCTAATAAGCAATTTACTTCACAAATTGCAACATGTAACTGAGTAGTTGACCATTTTAATAGAACATCCTCTAGTAGATGCATCTTAAACCATTTAGTGCAAACTTAAAGCTACTAGTAATTGCAATCAAGACAGAATATCAGTATTAGTAGAGGTGCTGGCTGGCTGCTGTCATATTTCTTCCATCACTGTCAGGTGTAAGTCATGAACATTTACCGAAAAACGACTGGATGATGAAGTGCCATTAACTACAATCTACATATGCATCTTTGTTATGTCAAGAGCACACATGTTCTAAGAGAAAATCTCCCCATCCTCACTGGTTTACACAAGTTATGAAATATATGATCATTGATGCATAAATGTGCTCCAGCTACAGTTTGTTGGAAATTTCGAGTTCGATTATTCACATAGGTGCAGTCATTAAGTTATCAGCCCTAATTTTACATTATGTGGCGCTTCTGTAGTTTAGCCTTTGCTTCATTTTTTTAACATGATACGAAGGAAACTAAATTTTCATGGCTGTTGTGAAGGTTTCCGAAAATGGTATTAAGGTAGAATAATTTGATTACAAAACATTTCCTTTCTTGATATATTTTCTTGTTTTTCAAGATTCTTGTAGTTAGAGATATGCTTTTCAAAAATAAGTTGGCAAGTGTTGGCGAAGTTGTAAGATTATTAATTGTAGAAGTTAATCAGCAGCTAAGGAAGCAATACATTTCCTATAAAGAATAAAGAGAGTTAGTTCAAATACTAGTGGACCTGTAACAACTAATATAGCACGGAATTGTGGGTATCATAGCTCAATCTTGAGTGTTAATATCAAACTTTTTTTGTTACAAAAAGTATATTATCAGCTGTTCCTTTTTAAACTCTCTCTCTCTCTCTCTGTCAAGTGGGAACTATGCAATCAAGTTGTCAATTCAATAATAGCTTATGTAAGAGTGAGAAAATAGATTCATACTGATAATGGTCGGATAAAAGCCTTGGCATCTTTAGTATAATGATGAAGATAAGTTCAAAAGTATAAAATGATTGTTGAGCGACAATAATTGGAATAAAGTGCATGCTATGTCATTACAACTTTTTGCTTGGTTGGTTGTTTATAGCCTTCTAAAATCATAAGAGGGAGGAAAAAAAAATCTTTGGCATCTGTAAATTTTTACAAATTGGAAATTTAATTATATTTATTGGGACGCTAATATGGGATTATTGATTTAAGTGAATGAAGGAAAAATCCCAAGAAATCAACTGCTGGCGGAGGAAATGAATCAATGGTCTAATCTAGAGGTAGTATTGTAATTCAAATATAATAACGACTTATTTTAGATATGCTTGTTAATGTTCAATGGATAGATGATCATAATTGATTGGCTTTCGTTGTCTCAAGTGTGTGTGTGTGATTCATCCATCATTGTGTGTGTCACAAAGTCCATCAACAACAAGATCATTAGGGGAGTAAGTGAAAGTGTTTATCCATTTTTCACAACATTGATGTGGAAGCAGAGCCGCAGGGTTCTCAATCTTGGAAGCTGCAGCTTTCAATTCCTCCAAATATATCTGAGACACGCAGTCATCTTCATCAAACTTGCAATCATAACCCCACCTGTTGCACTCGGGAGGTTTATTAAGTGCAATGTCATAGTCCGAGGCAGTCATCTTCCTCAAGGGCTCCACAACCTCCTTCATCAGCCGCTCTCGGAGTCTGTAAGCATAACCAGCCTGCTCCTCCTCCTCCTCCTTAACATCTCTTTGTGGGTGTCGATGCTGGAAAACCTTCCTCGCAACGCTCTCCAACAGGAAAGTGGCTCGATGGTCGAGCCAATCGGCCGCATTAGTGATCTCGAAGCACTTATTAGAAGAGGACTCATCATTATCATGATCATGAGCATTAATACTATCATCCATTTGCATCCCCTTCTTCAGAAGTTGAAAATCACGGTTGAGGCAGTGGGCGAAAAGATCCGAAACGAGGTCGTGTAACAAGCGATAATCGGGGTCAGTCTCGTACCTCTCGACAGCCACCTTGTCAGCCATGGTGAACATCATCTCGTCATCGACCCCGTCTTGGCCTGCAAGAATTCGGTGGAGAATCCTCACAAGGTCTCTCATACCACCACCATATCCGAACCAGGCGGCAATTGGCAGGAGGTTGGAGGCGAGGGTCTTGGGGTGGTTGTGCTGGAGCCAAAAAGCCGCCTTGTAGAAGGCTTCGGCATCTGTTATTGAACCTGAACGCCTGTCTAAGAGGTTGCAGATGAGCTTGAGGGTGGTTAAGGGATTGTGGGACCAGGCAACCGGGAGGAGTTGCTTCAGATACCTGTGGTTGGCCTCTGCTTTGCCATTGCAATTGGGCGGCATTTTGCCAAAGGCAAAAAGTTCTTCCTCTTTTGCTGCCTCTTGACAGGGCCTCCAATTTTGGTTTTGAGGGCATCTTTTCGAAATTCAATTGCTTTGTGGGGAAAATCTTGGATGCACGGAGGGCTTCCTAATTTGAATATCTCAACTTCTGATGTACCTGACTCAAATTCAAAGATTCCAGAAGACATATCAAAGGGTCTCCAATATGGAAATTTGACACTTTAAGCTTATGAGGTATGTACGTATGAATGACCTGTTCAATATCTATGAATGACCTGTTCAATATCTATTTCTCATCAATAGACGTGCATGCAAAAGGATAAAATTGCCTATAATTTGACACGCAGGAGTTGCACTATAGAATAGTCTCATCTTTTCTAAAAGTAATTGTTGTGAGATTTTAAAAACAGAAGGAATGTTGTGAGATTTTAAAAACAGGAACATGCTCACATATTTGGACATTGCAAATTATACATTGAACCTTTATATGCATGAAAGCTTTATTGCAGTGTGGTTAATACTTTTATCTCTACCAAGCATAACATATAATTGAATATGCCGCAAGCTACAGTTACTAATACTTGTTTTGGCTAAAGCATATAAGATTTTGATGATCTCATCAGTCATGAATTGTTTTACCAAGAAATCCATTTTAACGATTTTTTTGATCAATCATTTTGCGCTATGATCCAGTTTTCTAGTGTTAATTTTAATATCATCATGTTCTATGGCATATTAAATTTTGGCCTCAAGTTTTGATCTCAGGCATGCTGAATATCTGAATTGTGGTATAAAGAATATGTATGTGTATAATAAGAGTTGAAGGCAATACTAAACTAAAGCATCACATGATCTCGAATTCTGTTTTACACATGATTTCATTCTATCTAACCAAGCTGAGTTTCAGAGTTTCAGGATTTTTATACATAAGCATAGCAAGTGTACATATATGCATAAAGGTTTAAAGCACTAAACCAGTAAGATAAAAATCTAAAAAATAAAACCTTTAAAGTACATGTTATTTCTTATATTTTATGGCATTAACATATTCTATTAAGCATGTCATGATATAAAGTTCTTTATCATTATTCATGCTTGAAAGTCTATTGATCAAAGACTGGAGATCTCGAATATTGCATTAGTTAAGCGAGCCACAGCAGCTTAACTATTGCAGATTCAGTTTCCAATCTAAAGATTGATCAATAATTGCATCACAGCTAGTAGCCTTTTGTGCTATTTTCATCCATAGATGAAAAGAATACAAATTGATGACAGATGTGATGGAACAACATAGAGAAAGGGTTTGTGTAAACTAACAGGAAATTTCTTGATCCACAGATGAGAAATTTTCCTGTACAAGAAGTTTACTCATACCTAATTCGTCTAGTGTTTTGGAACATGTTTAACTTATGACCCACAGGTGTGAGTTAATAATGTTTAAGTAAAGCTTCCTGGGGAAAGTTACATTAATGGTGGAGTGACCCAGAAG